CTCGCATTTTTTCCGTCTCCCTATGCATTCAGAATAAGGCGAGAATGTGAAAGCGAAAATTTTTTTACATGCGAGATATCTCCCAACGAATATTCAGAATAAGGCTGTAAATGTATGCTTTCGTTTCAGTACCTACATTGCACTTATTTAATTGCCGCGCCAAGCCTCCTACAAGTGGAAGTAGTAGCATTTCTTGATTTCAATATATAATAGCTAAATGGCAACTTTATATCAAATTTATACTAGTACGTTTACATTGTACCGGATTCCGTTAACCCAGTGGATTTAAATTGTCAATTCCATTGTAAATATGTCAAATAAATCCCTATGAAGCAAGTTAAACCCAAAAAAGTTCTAATGTAAATCCCGTTTAAAGGGAAAGCAAGTTTGACAGTTCAACAACAAAAACTTAGTCAGTAGTCACACGTGCAAAATTTCATGACAAATTTTCTTCTCAATTTCTTTAAAAATTGCATTGTTGTTTAGACACGCAAATAACCCTTGCATCAAATTTATGAATTTTCTTATTCTTCCACACACTTATTTTCTCGTTTGACCATTGTTCATGAAAATTAAAAAATGGAATTAAAAGAAAAAACTTAATTATAAAAGAAACTCTTGAATTACTATAAGCTATAGCCGCAGAATGAAGACCTATTATGTAGTTTTTTTCTCGCAAAAGGTTTTAATTTTAATAACTGTCTTGATGTTTGTTTGCCGACAGAAAAAATAAAATGAAAGAAAATGCAAAAGTTTTCTGCAGCCAACTTCAGTTTTTTACAACGAATAACGAAACAAAACAGAATTGCTGAGTACAAGTATGTCTGTATCCCCTTTTATTCCTCCCACCTCCTTCGCCAACAAACTCAATTTACTTTACAAAAATTGCTCGTTTGACTACTGACTTACTGGAGTTTACTGTTTCCAATCAAGGTAGATTAATAAGGTAACCGTATCCACGCAGCTGATGGTAACATTATATGTCAAAAAATTTTTGTTATTTTAATTTGCCGTAGGTAGGAAAAAAATTAAATTTGAATTTCAAATGAAAAACAATACATGATTTTGATAAATAAATGTTATGAAATAGTTAAAAAATAGGCAAATAATATGATACTAAACCACTAGACTTAATATTTTTGCGGAGCTTAATCCCCATCATGTCCACAATTGTACGAAAATTGCTTCATATTTCAGCGCCTAGGTCTTTCCAAATGTAAAATTTTGTGGAGTTCGGTTTATAACTTCCATAGCCACTAGAAAATTGTTGGTCCATTTCATGATATCATTACCAAAACTATTAATATTTGCTTTGACCAAAACCGAACGGGCATACTAAATATTAAGATATTGGTTCATAACCTTTTGATCACAAATTATTATGTACAGAACGACGGGCACATAAAGCTAGATCGTTTCAGCAACTCAAGGTATGACTAAAACGTAGGTCTAGCACTAACATTTCGTGACGCTATATCTTAATTTCAGATTATACAACAACAAACAGAAGAACAAATTATATCCTCAAGGACTAGGAGAAATGTAAACAAATTTATGGAGGGACATTCGATTTATTATTAAAACGCCAACTACAATGTTTTCCTTTAATTAAAACCTTCAAAAGTCCGACTCGGCGGTGCCGTAATATTGGCACTAAATCCAAACCTGCATGAATGTTTACTGTTTCAATAATGAACCACTATTTGCAATATTAATGTTTATACTCTTCCAATGTTGGCGTTGTCGGTACAAACAAGGCCTTTTCCAAAATGTAGACCAATATGCTCCATTTCGATTTCGAAGGTTTGGATACGTTAAGACCTCATAGCGAAATGTAAATTGATCTGAAATTTTTAAAAACCATCAATATTTCTATAATTTAGTTATTATTTCACACTAGGTTCGTTCCCGTACTTTTTGATAGTAAAGCTAGTAAAAGAGCGAACTATCAAAAATTACTCTCACATACAAGATTTGCGCAAAAAGTAAAGGAACGAAAAATAGTTAAAACATGAAGAAACGTCAAAATCAAAAATTTCATTTGTTAAGGACAAAAAGAAAAGACTACAGAAACCTAATGCACAAAAAAGCAATAAGTTAAACGGCGTCCATTGCGTGATTTTGATAATATAAATATTTTTTGTTTATTTTTTATTTGTATAATTTAGAGGAAAGCCTTATCGAATATTTGGAAGTGGAGTTTCCGACGACTCCGAACCCGGAAAGGCTTACATGGCTGGACGCTCCCATAATGTTAATGCTATTGAATTTGGTAGATATTTTGCGAACTAGAACAACAAGATATGGAACAAGTCAAGTTTAGGGGCTCCATTCGGATCATTTTGAAATGATTACCGTAAGTAGCGGATTACAGTGATATACATTTCATGTGGGAAAATGCATACTTCCCGAGATATTGGTTTGGTTTGATTTTAACTCTCTTAAATTTAACTTCAAATTTTCCTACTTTTCGGCGTAAGGAAACGCTTTTCTAGCAACTAGTACAATATAGTACTATATTGCAGGTTTGGGAACACAGCTACTGTTTCACACCTTTGGTTCACACAAAAATTCTGAGAGGCTAAGAAATATCTGCGAAAATATATCGTCCAATCTCTTTAATTCTGTTTTAATAGTTTTTTCATCTTTTAGTATAATTTTAATCCATAACATTGCGATTATAAAAAAAAAAATTTAATACTTCAAAAATACCTTGTTCTGATTGGTGCAAGGTAGATATATAAGGTAGCCGCATCGGCGAATTTCTACAACAAACATCGGTTGTTGTATTTTGATATGTCAAAAATATTTTGCCAAAACAAACAGATTGGCAAGATTTTTTTACACAAATTCTTGTAGAAAATGCTAATAAAAGTATTGCCAAAAAAGCTCTTCGAAATTCGGAGATTTTCATTCATAATTTTGTTTTTTAATTTTTTGGTTCAACATTACAACAACATTTTTGACATTTATTTGTCCAACAGCTGGGCCGATGCGGCTACCTTATTAAATATACCTTGGATTGGTGGAATAAAACTCGCTTCAAAATTGAAATGTTACGGCGAATCAATTTGTGTTCGCCTTGTTAATTATTTTGACATATCATGTTCCCAATTTGCCGATGCGGCTACCTTATATATCTACCTTGTTTCTAATTTTTTCATAAATTTGCTTTTGACAACATTCAGCTTTCAAAATTTAAACGAAAATATCTTCCTTCGAAATGTACGCAAATTTTGTGTCCAGTGGAAAAAATTTTTGAATCATTCATATTTATTAATATTTTTAAGTTTCCTGCCTATAAAACCTATAAATATATATTGCAACATTCTTAGTTAAATATTGAGAACAATGTGGACCTAAAGAAAAAATATTTTTTTTAATTTGTTGAAAATTTTTGCCAATCGCTTTGCGTAACATTTTATGGAATTTATTTTTCATTTGACAAATTTGAAATTGACAAATGAGTTCCAAATTAAAAAGGGTTGCCATTATTAATTTCTCTTACTGGTTAAATTTTTGTAAGAATTTACAAATACTCAGCAACACTTAACAGTTGTGTTGCTCTGCTCTCTCAATTCACTCTCTTTTTTTGGACTTTTGGGTAAGCGAACAACATTTTGTAATAATTTGTACAAATTATTGAGTAAACGAACGAACCTATTTTATGCAGTAGAGTTTTGCAAACTCTGTAATTTTTGAATCAGCTGTTTTATGTACAATTGACAAAAATAACGTGCAAGATATATAAACATTTTAATTTCCAAAGTGAAATTTTAAACTGTATTGTATAACAAATGTAGAAAATGAAAGAAAATTCGCGAGTGTGAAGATTATTTGCTGAATCACACTGAATATTGTATGTTTACTTTTCTCAGTATTATTTCAAAAGTGAAAAAAACGACTTACTCTTTGAAACAGCACTTACTGAATAAATATTACTGGAAAAGTAACCAGACACAGCTAATATAAGCTATATATCAACGATTTTGCATAATACATTCATAATAATTGACCAAATAAGGCTTTGTGTACATGTAAGAGTTTAAATAAATAAAAGGATTTTTTGCAGAACTTAATCTTTATGTCTGTTCCAAAACCTGCAAGAATGATATTTTTACTACGATAACAATTCATCTTTTATGCCCTGTTCTGACGGGCATTCGAACAACGTAGTTTGCTCTCAGAATTACGTACATGAATTAACCCATTCATACAACACTATTCTTAATTCATTCCATCAGAGTTTATTTTTTCAAACTTTTTGTTTCTTGTTCTACACCAAAATTGTAGCATATTTTGATGAATCACATATTGATCTAAATAGAAAAAAAAATTCTCTTTCTCCTGACTATAGTATGAACCCATATCTATTAGCTTTTAATTCATGTTTTCCATTTTTCCTGAAAATATTGTTGTTTTCATACATTTTTATATTTTCTCAATTCAAATGTCACATATAAAAAATTGGAGAATTTTTTTTTGGGTGGCCCCATATTTGTTTCTTGTTTTGTACGCTAATTAGAACAAAAGGGAACGAAATGCATATTGCATTATGTAGACAACTAAATTTAGATCCTTCTGCATACAATTTGCATAGACAATTTTTTACTTTTCATTCATCATTTTCAATTTGACTGAAAAAGTTTGAAAATTTGATAAATATTTTCAAGCTGTCAAAATTAATTTATTTTCGATAAATACTCTCAACTGTTAGGGATGGGACAAATTTCTTCGTTATTCAGAGAGTGATTCGAATTGAACAACGTACAAAAGTAGGTGTTCGCTCAGAAAATTTTGTATGGGGAACTAAGTAATTACTTCATAATTAAGGGTCGAACAACGAATGAGAGAGCGAACAACGCTCGTCTGTACATGGCATTACGATATCGACAAAATAGTAAAAATTAGTAGATTCTTGCTGAGCGGGAACAGGCCATATATGGAATTTTCTATATGTTAACAATAAATTAATATTTCGTCAAAAATTTATTTTTCAGAATTTGTTTACTAATGGCACAGCATTGCACTAAAGTAAGAAATGTAGAACAAGCTCTGGTCCACCTAAAAGAATGTTTGAAATACGACCCCAATGATATTGAAGTGTTGATTCCACTCAGTCGTGTTTACACCCAAATGAATTCTATGGAATTGTGCCGCGATGTATGTATGCAAATTTTGCAAATCGATTGTAATAATGAAGCTGCGTCTGTGATAATGGCTGATCTGTCCTTCCGCAAGGTACTAATCTTTTATATATTATTTTTTTGTAAAATATAGTAATATAATTTCTATACTAATATTTATTGCTATATAGATGGATTTTGAAAACGCCACATATCACTTCTCGCAACTTTTACTCTCACAGCCTTGCTATTGGACGGCTTTAGCACGGTTAATAGAAGTAATGAGACGTTCAGGATCTTTAACGGACTCTACTTTATTTTTGCAAAAAGCTGAACAAGCAACTGCTTATCCAGATACATGTCCTGGTTTAAATTATTGTCGTGGTCTTTATGAATGGTATAACGGTAATCCCAATGGGGCCCTACGACATTTTAACGTTTCCCGAAGAGACAACGAGTGGGGTCCACAAGCTATATACAACATGATTGAAATATGTATAAATCCTGACGGTGACATACCCACTGGAAACGATTGTTTGGAAAGCGAAGATAATGGAGAACTAAGTGATGCGCGCATTATAGCATTACGTACTGCCGAACGATTATTGAAAGAGCTCCGACCACGTCCAACAGTTATGAACAACGAAGCAATAAATCATCGACTATTAAAAAATTTTCTAAAATTGGCTTCTAAACAAAAATTCCAAATTGAATCAGCCCTACAAGATTTTCTTGAACTAGCTAATAAAGACGACATTCAAGGGAGTGTTGGACCCATTCTTGGCGCAGCAACGGCTCTGGTTCAATTAAAACAGACACAACGCGCAAAGAATCATTTAAAACGCATAGTCCGTGTAATTTGGAATTTTGAAGAAGCTGAGTATTTAGAGCGCAGTTGGCTGTTATTAGCCGATATATACATTAATTCCAACAAATTGGATGTCGCCGAATCATTAGTTTTAAAAGTTCTACAACATAATAAATCATGTTCTAAAGCTTATGAATTAGCAGGATATATATCGGAGAAGTCTCAGCTTTATCGAGATGCAGCTAAAAATTATCGTAGCGCATGGAATTGCAATGGAAGCTCTAAGCCACATATAGGATATAAATTGGCTTATAACTACATGAAAACAAAGCAGTACGTTGAAGCAATCGTAATATGCCAGCAGGTGCTGAAGTTACACCCGGATTATGTTATAATTCAAAAAGACATACTAGAAAAATGTCGGAATAACTTAAGGCAGTAAAAAACCGTTATGGCCTGAATATTTTTATTCAATTTATTCATATGTAAATATCTTGTCCTCACTTATTATATCAACGTTTTCTTATTTTAATTCTTTAAACACTTCAGAAACTCCCTATTTGGCATAGCCAACAGCTCCTGTTTTGATTTATCTTTTTTCTCCTCAATTGCACGGTTGTTCAGAGGTCGATATTACTGACAAAAATCGACACGGATAGGTTGCGCCGAAAGAGATTCCGCAGAGAGATAAATGAATTTAGCGAGGCAGTTTAAAAGATGCAGCGCATCGTAAGGTCAAAGAACCCACGCAGGGCATGCGTCTGGTATCATACTGCCAATTCGGATCTAATTGAAGCGGCTGCACCATCTTAATTGACTTAAAACTTCTCTCGTTGGTCTGCCTGTTGAGTCACATATGGATCTAAAAAGAAAAAAAAAATTTATTTTCCCTTTTTTAAATAAATTTGTATAAATAAACAATGATTGTTATGTATAAGTAGCGTATTAACACTAGAACGCCGAAGGCAGTCATTTTGACCGCTTTCCAATTTCAAGTACTAAAGCAACTGTGCATTTAATGACACTTTTTTTAAATTTACTGAATTTTTTATAATAAACGTAATTCTGTGAGGTACAAAAAGTCACCATATTTTAAAAAAAAGTGTCATTAAATGCACAGTTGCTTTTGTACTTGAAATTGGAAAGCGGTCAAAATGACTGCCTTCGGCGTTCTAGTGTTAATTTAGTAGTAATGATTTAATATATTGTTACGTTCTTGGGTTTTACTTATTCCCGTGTAGACGTTGTTTTATTTCCCGATACAATTCGTACCAAATAAAACGCGGGTTCTTTCTGATTACGATTATTACAATGATTTTATTCACACAACTTTACTTTGCACTTTACTTTACACGACGGTTTCAATTCGCGATCTGATTCACAACTGACTCACTGCCTTTCCATTTCCTCTATTTATATGCCCCTTGCCTGTCGCTACAGAAGTTTCTAGACGATCTGGTAACGCCTAGATTACGAACAATCTACCAATGCAACAAACACATATAAACTTACATTGAGTAAACAATAACAACAACACATATACAGGCGAGGGGGTAACAAAGAAAGAGGAATTAAGCGATCATTAATGATGACGTTTAACAAGAATTGTACGACAATAACAAAATAGAAAATGGAAGAGGAAATGGAAGGATGTAGAAAAATCTATACAGTAGTTGTTGTTGTGAAGTTATTCGAATAAACTGCGTAGTAGAAATTTACGTTACAATTCAAATTCTTAAATTAACGGAATTCATCTAAATTAACTTAAATCTAAATTTATATTCGTAACATTGCCCCCCGCTTAAGCCTGTTCGTCCCGAATAGGCACAGTTCCCGTTCCGTAGGGGGCCAGCCGCTCCAAATGTACAACTTTCATCTTCGACCTGGGACTGTCGCTCCTCTGGATGCGATAAACCACATCATTTATTTTCGTGACAATCTTGTAGGGTCCTTCCCAGTGCGTTTGCAATTTGGGGCATAGTCCTTTCTTTCGTTGTGGGTTGAACAATAGTACCAGTTGCCCTTCTTGGAACCCAACGGTATTTGCCGCTCGATCGTACCTTGCCTTCATGCGGTTGCTAACCATTTTTATTCGATGGCGAACTGCATCGTGGATTTTACTAAAAGAGTTCTGACTGTCTTCTTCTTGGTTCACATCGTCGTTTGGGGTAGCACCGAATATCAAATCGCCAGGTAGCTTTAATTCATTTCCGAACAGAACTTTGGCTGGGGTCCGGGATGTGGAATCATGAATGGCCGATCTATAAGCCAGTAAAAACTTTGGAATATGCTCATCCCAGTCTCGTTGGCCACTGTCCACCACTTTCCGTAGATGTTCTTCCAGGGTGCGATTGAATCTTTCCACCATGCCATCTGATTGTGGATGTAGGGGCGTCGTTCTGGTTTTCTTGATTCCGTAGGAGTCACACATTTCCTTGAAGATCGCTGATTCAAAATTCCTACCTTGATCGGAATGAACCTCAGATGGAACACCATAGCGACAAATCCAATTTTTGCTGAACACATCCACAATTGTCCTGGCTTCTTGGTTTGGGATAGCATAAACCTCTGGCCATTTACTGAAGTAATCCATGACCACTAAGACATACCGGTTCCCAGAGTCGCTTGTTGGGAACGGTCCAGCTACATCCATTGCGATTCTTTCAAAAGGGGCTCCTGAATTATACTGCTGCATGTAGCCTCGACTCTTCCGTGTTGGACCTTTAGCTCTTATGCACCTTTCACAATTGGCGATCCAGTCGGCAATGGATTTTTGACAGCCGACCCAGTAGAATCTCTGCTTTACCTTTTCAGCGGTTTTTGCTATGCCAAGATGTCCTCCACTTGGCCCATCGTGAAACTCCGACAAGACATCTCTTATTTTGGATTCTGGGACGACGATCAAGTTCCGGTGAGATTTACCGTCCTCACTTTCCCATTTGCGATATAGGCAACCATCTTTTATAAGTAGACTGTCCCACTGGGCCCAATAGGATTTTAAAAGAGGGCTTTCGGAGGTAATTTCTTTGCGACTAGGTCGCTTGCCCGTTTCCATGGCCGAAATTACTTTGCCCAGAATGGGATCTCTTCGTTGTTCCGTCGACCAATCTTCACCCGACTCAAACTGCAATAGTCGGACATCAACGATATTCTCTTTATTCTCAGCCTTTGAGCAGTGCTTGCATTCTACCTTGCATGGCCGACGAGACAGGGCATCAGCATTACCGTGTTTTCCGCCTTTTCTGTGCTCGATTCTGAAGTCATAACTCTGGAGCCTCTCGATCCAACGGGCTAGTTGACCTTCCGGATTCTTAAACTGCAGCAACCATTGGAGAGCAGCGTGGTCGGTCCTCAGCAGGAAATGCTGGCCATATAGGTATTTGTGGAAGTGTTTAACGCTCTCAAGGACAGCAAGCAGCTCTCTCCTCGTCACACAGTAATTCCGCTCAGGTTTCGACAATGTCCGGCTGTAGTACCCGATGACTTTTTCCTGTCCGTCGATTTCCTGGAAAAGGACGCCACCGATACCGCACGCACTTGCGTCTGTGTCCAGAGCAAACTTGCCACCAGGTATAGGGTACGCCAAAATGGGGGCTCTACATAGCATGTCTTTGAGCTTTCTGAATGCCTCTTCTTGGTCGTTGCCCCACTGAAACCTCTGGCCTTTTTGCGTCAAGCGGTGTAGACAGGCGGCGATGTTGGCAAAATTTGGGACAAATCGACGGTAGTAGGTGCAGAGACCCAGAAAGCTTCGCAGCTCATGGAGATTTCGGGGCTGAGGCCAATCTCTGACGGCTTGAATTTTCTCCTTATCCGTCGATATGCCCTCCGGCGTCACGTGGTGCCCCAGGAACTTCACCTCTCGTTGGAAGAGACTGCACTTCTTTGGGTTTAACTTGAGGCCTGAAGACGAAAGCTGCTGTAGAACATCCCTTAAGTTCTTGATGTGTTCGTCGAAGTTGCGTCCCATGACTATGATGTCATCCAGGTATATGAGGCACGATTTCCACTGCAGCCCTTTTAACACACGCTCCATCAGCCTTTCAAATGTAGCCGGGGCGTTGCAGAGTCCGAATGGCATGACATTGAACTGCCAGAGACCCCCATTAACGCCAAACGCTGTTTTCTCTTTATCTTTCTCGGCGATCTCTACTTGCCAGTACCCACTCTGCAGGTCGAGGGTGGAGAACCATGACGTCCCGGCTAATGTGTCCAATGTGTCGTCGATTCTTGGGAGCGGATAGCTGTCTTTCTTGGTGACATCATTCAACTTTCGGTAGTCCACACAAAATCGGGTGCTTCCGTCTTTCTTCTTGACCAAGACCACTGGGGAGCACCATGGACTTGACGATGGTTCTATTACACCACTCTTTTCCATTTCACTTATCAGCTTCTTGGAGGCTGTTTAATGGGTCTCGAGTCTGCTGTATTGATTTCATGCTTCACCACTGATGTTCTTCCTTGGTGCTCTTTTGTCAACGCAAAGGTAGAGGCATATTTCCATAATAGCTGCTTAGCCTTGTTCCTCTCGGAAGGTGATAATTGGTGTGTCCACTCTTTTATGTAGCCGTCGAGGTGCTTCTTCTCCATGGCTGCTGGCTTTTCGGTGCTAGTTTCCAAATTAACTACAGCTTCAGCTGGTGTGCATTGTCCAACATCGGAAAATTGGCAAATTTGCTCTTGCTTGTTCGACAGGTTCAAAACTCTAACAGGAATTAATCCGTCCTTGTTGCTTTTCACCAGGGCATTCGCTATTAGGATGTTACTGTTTTTGTTTTCTGCTGGTTCCACCACCCACAACTTCTCGGCTCCACAATCTCCATTCATTGGTACCCATATTATTGCTTCGGCACAGGGCTGTATTATCTCTGGATGGTCCGTAGTCAGACGTCTAATGGGTGTACTTTCATCGTAGCCCACGTTTAACGGAATTTCGACGTTAGACCAGGCCATCACACGCTCTTTCATATCCAGATTGATACCGAAGGCAATCATAAAATCTGCGCCTATTATCACTTCGTCTACGATATCGGCAACTATAAACTCGTAATTCACCGATTTATTGGCAATAGTCAGTCTCAGGGTAATCTTGCCGTGTACTGCCGCGGGCTCCCCCGTTGCTGTGCGCAGTCTGACTCCATTAAGTTGCGTTATTTTTCCCTTTACCAGATCTGATCTTATGATGGACTTTGATGCGCCAGTATCTAACGTCAGAACTCGCTTGTCACCATTGATGTACCCAGTTGCTGTTAGGTTGTGACTTTTCTGTTGTACTATTGCTATGGAGATTGTGGGGCCATCGTCGATGGGAGCCAGTTCATGCCCCGCTGGACTGGCTCGATTTAGTTTAACGGTGACTCATTGGTGGACTGTTGAGCAATTCTTCTACCATCTTTCGTTGGAGGTGGTGACGATGACCTGGATCGTTTGCGCTTAGCTCTG